TGTATTGAGATCAATGACTACTTAATACTTCTATTGGCAAATAGTGTGAACATAATCAATCAAATAATGAACTGAGAAATAAACCTTAGATAATGAAGAGGGTTGAAACCATCTATAATTCAAGTCAGCTAAACTGATTCATCGATTCAAACATTTCAAACGTCAGCTCATAATCCGAGTGGCCTATATGCATTTATCTAACTCTGAAAGTTGAACTATTTTATCTCATTTTATGGTGTGATAGTGACATATATATTATTTTTGCTTCGTTTTCTAACTATTCGTTCATCAGTCATAGGAAGAAATAGTACAACTGTTCAGTCTGTTTACTAATTTCGACTATCCTATGATCATTTGCGTACATGTATTTGTTATTTTTCTTATCAAGTGTCGCAGATTCTTTGGAACATTGGCTGGTACTTCATTCAGCAGAAGTGGAATGTTTAGATATGGGTGATTCTATCAAGGAAACACAAATATTAATTGATCGATTAAATGTTTCGGAACGGAATACTTTGCCACAAATCAGCAGATATGAAAAAGTTAAACAACTTACAAAGGTTTGCTTAAATGTCACATTTAAAACCTTTTTTATTCAATAGTTAAGATCATGAGTCAGTTGAAGCTAGACCACTATGAAAAACCTGGAAGCACTGGACGGGCGTTTCGTCCTATTACGGGACCCCCCAGCAGTGCGCATCCACGACCTCGCCCCTGCGAGATTCGAACCTAGGACCTACTCGTTTCGAGCGCAAGCACTCAACAACTAGACCACTGAGCCGACTTCTAACACTGTTAATGTTTAACTTCAACTAATCCATGAAATTGAGTGACACATCCACCATTGTCTTCACAACAGACCTGGCTGAACTCCACTGGTCACTATTTCTCACTTGTTATCCAGAAACAAATATTGGCCTAAAAGGTTATACTGATGAAATAAATACAAATATATATATATATATCATCTATCTCCAGTAATCAATAAAAAATTGTACTTTTTGACCTAGCTGTAGATTATAAGCACAACTATCTTCAGATATGTTATCAGTAATACATCCGTTGAGTATTAAATTTTGGTAAAGTAATTGCTTTTGTCTATTTAGATGGTGGTATGAAATGAAACTCAGTAAAGCTTTTGTCAATGTCTAGTTCAACTTGATACCATTTCAAAGTGTTGTAAATTACTAATTAAGGAAATGGACGTTTTTCTCTATTTCAAATCGACACTTATTATATTGACTTTTAATAGCTAAAGTCAAAGATACTTGGAAATAAGCGTTTGAGTAATATCATGCGACAAGTGCAATGTGAAAGCTGTTATAAAAGTAAAGATTAGAGTAAAACTTGAAAAGTGCTCAAATAGCTACTGTATGTTTTAAAACATTTTCGGAACGCAATACAAAGTATCAACCACTAGTGAATTACTGTTAGAATGCACAAAATCTTGAGTTCTTTTTAATCTTTAACTACGATAAGATGATGTTCTCCTCAAGATTGTATTAAGAAGTGGGTGGTGTATTTCTCAAGGGGGGGGGTTTGGCAAGCTGAAGTATAATGTTCGGGGTTTCATCATAATAATGTTCTATGACTTCTTTAGTAAGTGATCAGTCATTGTGTATATTCAGTTTGGTGAAAGGTGGGGAGAATCATCAAGTCAGTATTGTTTATGTGACATAATAACTATAAACAAACATTGCCTATAATAATATAAGGTTAACATTTCAAAACATTACACTCTTAGTGAACTATATGAACAGTTGTTCTAGTCATGTTAATACTTTTGGTTCCATAAATGTATAGAACTTTAGATTTTCGACTGACGAAATTGACATATTTTAGACCAGGCAAGTGAACTAATGACGTTATGCATTGAATAATATTTCAATGAAGCATAAGCACTAATTCAATGTTACCCTAGTCATTTTGACCGTTTATTATTTTATTTATTTTAACACATAGATATTCATACAAGGAGGCACCAAATACATATGCGCCACACAAATCTCATTGAATATGTGTGAGGGCTGTGATACTGCCCGGGTGCCCAAACCGAAGCAGGTGGTTTTCTTAGGAGGCCACTCCCCGAGCCTTCGACCTGAAGGTCTGATCCACAAGGGAGTGTATCAACGTAAGGAGATGCAGTACCATGGTAGCCGGTGACCAATGATTGGTTCATACGCCATTTGTTCCCTCAGGATACTGGAGCCCATGTGCATCATTGGTTTGGAATCCGGTTAAAGCTCCGGACATTCGCTTTTCGTCCTCTCATTTCCGTAAACAACACTGTGGCCACGAGAAGGCAGTGAGTAGGACTTCTCTGGCAGAGGCTATATTGCTGGTTAGATAAAAAAAGCCGGCGACCATACCACGTTGAAAGCACCGGTTCTCGTCCGATCACCGCAGTTAAGCAACACTTTGATAGTGATTTCTTAAATCTCATTCTCTTTTAAAGAATAACAGATGGAATCTAAATTTTAATACACATTCACAGTTTAAGACTTTAAGTTTACTATTTTTCACACTTCACAATGTGTCTTTAGAATATTTAACTCTTTCCAAAAGCTCATTAAGAAGGGCAGACATCTCTTTCATATTACTTTCTTCAGTCTAGAATATATATGCCCACCCACTTTGGCTCCATCATTTATCAGCATGTTACATATATTTTCTTAATTTATTTTAGTTTGAACTCGCTGAGATCAATGAAAATATGCTGAATGTGCCAATAAGCTGTGTGAATATTGTTCACAGTCCGGATCTAGAAAATATACAAACACTTTTAAATTACTATGAATTGAACGAAACAGATGCATCAAATGATTTTGATGATTCTAAGCAGAATGTCGACACGACGACAGATGAGAATTTAAAGGATACTACTGATTCACCTGAAGTTAGTTGGGAGGTGGCCGAAGGTCAGAATCTTTCATTCAGTAGTTTAACATAACACACATACTTTTAATTTAATAAAATTTATTCACTTATTATAAAAAGTAGTTTAACTAAACTAAACATTTCGAAATTCCTGGTTATTTGACATGATCACAGAAAAAAGTGGGAAAAACAGGATTTTCAGTTCATTTCGAGACTTTCTATCAGCCACAAATAATATAAAAGCACATTTAGTAACATCATTGCTTACACGTTTTTCAAGTACCTTACTTATGCTATTTGAACTCGACTTCCTTGACGATGATGATGATGATACCGTGAAAGTCTGTTTATAATCTTATCATAGAATATCTCTCTGTTTAGATCAGAATGCAATATGTGACATCATTGTTCACACAATAGATGTCCAGGCTATTATCGAGTCAGTAAACAAACTAACACATTTGATTCGTAGTTTGATTAATCTCTCAGTGGTTACTAGCTGTTATAATCCTCTCAGTCAGTAATGTTTTTATTTGATGTAGTATTGTGGTGCGTGCTACTTATATTGATATAAGTAGTATATTATGCGAGTCAGGAATGTAATGTCTGGCAGCAGAAGATGAGGGAAGATCAAGAAAGCAAGAGCGGAAATAAAATGCAATTTGTATGAAAATGTAAGAACAATGAAGTGTGAGGCATTTTGAGACAATTGGTGGACATTTTGCAAATGAACGATTCAATATATATAGTTTTCAGATTTTATTGACATGCAACATTCAATTGTCCTCCTCCGTGTTCTGTTCACTAAAGTATGTTTAAATAAACTAAACGTGTTTTCTGTACTACATATATGTAGACTAGAGTAATGATTGCTGAATTGCATAGGCATCAAGTTTATAAGGTACGGTATAACTACTAAGTGACTTCCAAGCGTAATGTTTTGTTCGTTAAATGTTAACTTTCATTAGGCTATTCAATTTACTTCCATCATTTCTTCTAAACACTGTTTATAGATTCTATAAGTGACTATTTAATGAGAAAACACGAGTGGATTAATCATAATTGTAAGTCTCGCGATCGTTCCTGGCATGAACTCTATATGGTCTTAAATACATCAGTTAAACAGCTGTTAGCCTATAAAAACAAATCTGATTACAATGAAGATAAGTGAGTTTACATGTTTATGCTGAAATGAAAAATATTTCATCCATCATTGTTGATTTTTCTGTCACTAGTACTTTACTTCTCAGGCCAGTAGTAGTATGGATGAAATACCCCCATGTGTTATTTATATTAATTCTTTTTATTCAGAATCTTTTATTCATGGATTGATTAAATAGTGTTTTCCAAAGTTCACGATATGCCGTAAATTTTGATAGGATTCTGATGTTACTACTTAGATTATGTTAAAGTAGTATGATATTTATATGGAAAATACTACGCTATTACATATCGCACACAAATTAAGCTATTTCGTGGTTTGTACAAATCACCAGTCAAATTATACGTAAAATTCACTAATATTCCAAACATTTGGGATAAAGCGTTTGTAGATTGTATGATTGAAATTGGGAGTATTTGGTTATCTTAAACAAAAAATTCCGTTTTTATTGGATGCTTAGTTCTTACAAATTCAATGGAGAATAGTTAGCTCTTACTCATTGAAACCTTGTCATAAATCGATATGCATGATTTGCTTTACCAATGATCCAGCTATTCATGACCACTTCATTGAACTGTCATCAATTATAAATGGAAAATAACATTACACATTTCATTGTCACGAGCGGCATTGTCAGTCAACTCAAGAACTTCAGCCGCCAGGTGCTCGAGCACACCCGCCAAATAAACAAGGGCACCAGCTCCGAGACGTTCTGCGTAGTTACCCTTGCAAAGGAGGCGATGGACTCGACCAACTAAGAAATGCAGACGAGCACGGGCTGATCGCGTTTTCACCTTAGCACGAGACTTTCCACCTTTATCATGTCCACTCATTATCCGTTGGAGCCGAGAAACGTGTTAAATTTGCATTAGTTCTTCACTTTGTCTAAATAGTTATTTGAGGAAATAATTTCATTCTCAAGTTCTAAAAAAACATTTTGTCATTTTATTTTGTGTTTAAGTCCTCAATCCAATACATTTCGTGGAGAAACTGGATTATTGGTGGGACAGAATCTATTAACTGCTTGTGAAACAAAGGATTATACGAAACGATCAAATACATTTCGTATTACATCTACGGCTACCGGAGCTCGGTATCTATTTCAAGTTCGTTTGATAATTGTCATTCATTATGTTTGATCATTTGAACATCATCAATCTACACTGAAATGTAACATGAATTATGTGATGAATCGGATTTTAATTCACTGTGAAGTTAGGCTAATGATTTTTGAATGTTTAGTGTCGGTTTTAAAACTACTACTATCTAAGTAACTCAATATAGATGCACAGAAAGTCAAATGGTCTGGCAGCAAAGGCAGATTATGCAGAAGCACAATGAGGGTATCTTCAAAAGTAAGGAACATACTGCACATTTCCACGTTATTTGCAGAAAATTATGATGTTATCAATGGAAGTTAAAACTTGAGCTTCAAAAGAAAGTCAGGAGTCAATTTATTACTGGCTATTTTAAAAGTTAACACTTGTCATAAACATGACGACTTGGTTGTCCAACGACTTCCTACTGGCCATCAGAATAACTTTTCTCCATGTTTAGATACTTGAACTGTTTATTCAAGACTCTGGCTCGTACAATAAAATCAATAAAAACACTCTGTTGGGAAGATCATTTAAAATGCGATAGGACCCATGTTCGATTGCCTTCTGTTTACTATCAACCAGCTGGGCAGTGAAGATTGATAGGAGATGTCGTTACCTTTTTATCAGAAATCTACGAACCGCTGTTAGCAAATACCCAAACAATAACAGCTGACATTGCTAGGTGACTTACGAGAGCCCTGATGCCAATGAGGATAAATATGGATCCTACAGGACCTGCCAACGCTTCCAGGTGGAGCTTCCATAGATGTAAATTCGATTGAAGTGTCAATATTTCGGTTTGTCTTTCCTTCTTTAGAATTTTCAGCCGGTGATATTAAATAACAGTGTAAAACATTTACAGATTAGGAAATTTCGTATTGATCTGTGATCTACAGTATAACACCCGAACAGTGAACATACAGATGATTCATTTATTTTAGAATTATATTTCTTAGCATGTTTACGTATTATAAATGACAATCATAAACTTATTCTCACTGTTTTCTATTCTAGGCTCAGACCAGTGAAATTATGAGAAAGTGGCTTGATTTAATTCAAAATATCAACCGACAAACGAGATCAACATCAGGTCCAACCCTCATCACTTTATCGAGACCATCTGAAGAATTCCAGAATCCTTTAGTCATTGTAGATATGCATGAAACATTGACTACATCGAAAAAATTAACTTTAACACAAATGTTGAGATCAAAGACAACTAATCAAATATCATGCATGCGAAGACATAGTTCAACCCAGGATAATGATCTTACAAATAATATGTTAGAGAACACAGAATCACCACAAATTCGAATGAAACGATTTCCTTCAGTTCGTACAATGAAAGTATTTTCACCAAGACAAGTAGTACGTTGGCTGACATTTAAATATTCTTCATTTTCACCCTCCTGCTCCTCTTCCTCCGGTATGAGTCATCAAACGCCTAAATTGATTAGAAGTAGTACATCACATAATATGGAATCTGAACAGTCTGGTCAACCAACTCCATTACTACGCAAAAGTTTAACTTATGGTTCCTTGCATAAAATTAGTCGATTTTCTATTACACCAAAGAGTCATAAAGATACATGACATGGATATCATTAGAATTGGTGTGTAAAATACATATCGACTATAACATTTGATTATCGTTAATGTCCCCCCCCCATCAAAAAAATGATAATTTTTAATTTAGTTTATAAGGTATTAGCAACTATTCAATAAAGAGAATACTTCATTGAGCCTTTAAATGTTTAGGTCTATATATATTCCAATTATGAACAATAAACAAATGATTTATATTTACATTTCAATAAAAGTTATTTCACAGTTAAAATAAAACGAATTATATTAAAAAAAACTATAGCCAGGTCAGAAAGTGCAACACAGTGACTACCGGAGAAAGTTTAAGGGTAAGGGTTAAGGTCGGAGTCAGGTCAAGGGTTAGGATTGAGGGTTAGAGTTAGGCTTGAGTTAGAGTTAGAAGGTCCGATGTTAATAGTGCATGTGTCCATGAGTATTGTGTCGTTTGTAGTGTTGTCCTGAATAGTACAGTGTATTTGGATAAAGGTGAAATGGAATGTTGATATTGATGAATTTCTGTTACGGGTTGTCGGTCACTCTTCGTGTGGCTGAGTGGTCCAAGGTTCTGGTTTCAGGCACCAGTCTGAAATGGGAATGAGTTCGAATCTCACCCTCAAACGTTCACTTTCACAATCACCCACATCATACAGTCTCGACTATCATACATATACTAAGACAAACACACAATCACAACCAATGAACAACAACACTACCACCACATTCTCATTCTGTTCCGTGTCACTTCGAGACTTTGTTTCATTCACAACACTGAGAATTCACAGCCCGTTTCCTAGTCCCACTGACAGACAACATCGTCTGAATGTATCAAACTACTGTCATGTATGCCAAATGCTTAATTCACCTGTGCTTCGTGCTCAAATCCGAGTTCGACCACGCGTATTGTGTACAGGCAGGCAAGCAGACCATGGTCAACCGACACATCTCAGCAGACAAACTGACCATGTTTCTGATGGACACCAAAAATCGAGTATTCAAGTATTGAAAATGAAAACTGCTTATATATCTAGTATATGGTACACACAAACGAACACTTCGGTTAGGGTTTGGTGGTGTGTCAATTTGACATCAATTAGACCGCACGATGTTGTAGACGGGCTCACCAATTCAGTGGCCCGAGATCTGACTCCAATTAGATCGTATGTTTGATTGCTATCGAAATATGTATGTCACCTATCCTCGTATATTTCATCGACTTAAATCGTGTTATTCAATAACGGAATTAAATAAGTTAAATACGAGAATGAATTTCGAATACGTACATTTCATAAAATCTTTGAACCAGACAAAGTATTGGAGAAGCGAAGAGAAGTGACGCTCAGTGGAAAAGGCCTGTGAACCAACTCCATTTAGTCAAGCGTTAATCAATATTTAGTCACACAAAAATAAATTTCCATAATGTAATAAGACGAGGATTATCAGAACTATGTGATGGTAAGAACAAACTGTTTTTGAACACACAAGGGGGTTTGAATTTTCGTATGGCTAAGGCTTCAATAAACCTTTGTATATGCCCTTTTACACTTTTATACAATACCACAAAAACTGAGTTTAGATCAATCTTGTGACCTGTTTCAATTATATGTTTAGCAATAGAGGATGATGGGTGTTTATCCTCTGCTCTTATTGGGTCACTTGATTGTTCCAATTGTATTGCGCTAATATATCACATACTTCTGATAATCTTCGAATGAATACATTGGCCTGTCCAGAAGCTAGAATAAAGTATATGAGCTAAACATATCAACTGACACAACATAGCCCCCTTGTAGCAAATAGAACATTTGAAAAAAATGTCTGTTTTCGTAAATAACATCAAATTGGTATGTGGATGGTGTTAACAAGCAAGGAGAAAATTGTTCTAGGCCTGGTGATGCACAATGACACATGACGGCTGAGTATATGATACGAATGTGTTATACTTATGTAAAAGAATACGTGAATATCGTAAAGGCATGGGAAAAAAATGGAAAAATTAGCATGCGATTTATAAGCAAATCAATCAGCGCAGAGAAATTTAACATGCATTTATATTGTGATAGTCTGAACGATTAAATAATACGTTCGTGATGAACAATTCGAAATATTGTGAAAACAGTAATAAATTGTCTATGGATATGAAAACGAAATAAATCGTGAAAATTAAGTAGAGTAGAACATAATAATAAATTAGTCGGTGGTGCCGACACAATGGTGAAATATGAACATACTCTGATGAGCTGCAGTAGAGTAAATAACGTCGATTAGCGATGTGTGTGTTACGAATCATCTAGTAGAGTTAAATGCATCCATGGACATAATAAGAAGGCAATATCGGAATGAATAAGGTATGGTAGGATAACATGAAAATGTGACATCCATATATATATATATATATATATATATATATATATATATATATATATATATACCAGTTGCTGTTTCACATATTACACAGATATATTCCAGTATTCCTGTTTGACATATAACAGGAACACGATTATGTTGATTAGTTTTCTTAAAAGAACATTCATCAAAATCTTCAGTGATTCGTTTATGTACAGAATATCTAGGTTTTTATAGTATTTTAGATGGCCTTGGGTTTGCGGAGAATTCTGACATCCTACTAAACATAGTAGCAGTATAAATAATCTCATCCAATCAGAAACTCGACATGTGACTTTCCATGCTGTGAGGTATATTCCCTTTTGAAAACCTGAGGCTGAAAGTGTCAATGGTTATAAAATACGTAAACATCGCATAACAACTGATGAATCATATTGGTCATTTATATATATATGCCATATCATTAAATATTCTAATTGTACTGCCAGTATTTGAAGGATGAGGTGGTGCATCAATTAAATATTCACTGAAAATTGAAGAACATATGGAACTCAAAACAACTTTCAACCAATATCAAAGTGAGAATCTTCAATACGAACGTCAAGGCAGTTCTACTGTATGGAGCTGAAACTTGGAGAACTACAACAACCACAATCAAGAAAGTACAAGTATTTATAAATAGCTGTCTACGCAAGATACTCAACATCCATTGGCCGGATACCATCAGCAATAGCCTTCTGTGAGAGAGAGCAAACCAACTTCCAGCTGAATTGGAAATTAGGAAAAGACGATGGAAATGGATAGGATATGCATTACGCAAATCGTAAAACTGCATCACGAGGCAAGCCCTGACTTGGAATCCTGAAGGGAAGCGAAAAAGAGGAAGGTCAAAGAACACATTGCGTCGGATAATAGAAGCAGATATGAAAACGATTAATTACAACTGGACGGAGCTAGAAAGGATTGCCCAGGACAGGGTTGGATGGAGAATGCTGGTGAGCAGCCTATGCTCCTTCACGAGGAGTAACAGGCGTAAGTAAGATAAGTTGAAAGAGAAAGTATGGATTTAACAGTTCATAATATTCAAGGCTCAAACTAACATTCTAAAAAAGAAAAGCCTTTAATAATATGCAATCGTCATAACAATACAAATTACATATAGCTAATAAATAAGACATATATATTTTGCACTACTCATAAGTAGGTTGAATTTCAACAGTGAATTAACCAAGAAACCGAGAAACATCAAAATGTGACAAATGAAGTTCAGTTAAATTATTCACTATTTGTTGAATGTTGTTTAACTGAAAGGTTTTTCTGTCAATTCGAATTATGAGAGAATGCAGAGAGAGAAAAGATCAAAAGATAAACCTAATCAACAAAATTGTATGAAATATGATTTTAGAGTTCTGTAGAGAACTCCTATGATGTACATATCATCACACTCACCGTTAACTGTAAATTAAGTAAGTTAACGCCATTGTCGTATTTGATTCCCAAGAAAAAACAAACATCAGAGCATCTAAATCATTAATTGAAACCAATTCACTGATTCTCTTATTACTAGTCTGATGAATTGTGCCCATGAGAATTTAAATGATAGATACATATGATGAATAATTTGATCACATAGTTGATCCCTTGTATTCTCTCTCTTCACTATTGTGCAAAAATCCCTCTAGTATACGCTTATTTGTGCTCCGTTCACTTATATCATTCATTTATCTTTGCACAGTTTTCCACTTTTAGTTCAAATTACATTGAGCATTGTCTACTTAAACATAAACTTGATCATAATCATTCATTTCAAAATGAATCAATTATCACTTCTTTGGTAGGATTAGTGTTGATTAGTTAGACAATAATTATACAAAACTCATCAAGATGCAACTATAAAATACTAACTAATCAACCGAAATTTCATATCTGTTTCATAGTAATCGTTATGATTTGATGTCCGGCTTCCTATCACGTGAACTATCCACCAATCAGAATATGACTTATACAAATCTTCACACTATGCCAAACCAATGACGTTCAACCGGTATGAGCAGTCTAGCGACCGTATTCGTCCTATGTCCTCCTATCCCTTCCACTTGAGTCCAGAACACAATACCAGCTTCTGTAGTATGAATCGAATCGAATCAGATCAGATCGTTTATTTCAGACATACTCGGTTTATATATCAATCAGACAGACCACAACGTACCAGAAAATAGAAAATAATATGTGTACACAAATAAGCCAAAAAGTGGCTGTGAACGAGGGGGACAGTAATTAATAGACTGAGCATAGCTTAAGAACCGTAAATCGTATAATAATAAATTATAGGTCAAAATAAAGCTTATAATAAGAGGAATATAAATATACATAATGTAATTGTTGAATAGTTATACAATAAGAATATTTATAGAATATTAGTCCATTAATAGTCCTTGGAAGTTACCTGTAATTTAGTCTTCGCTCGGATATAACAGTAATCACTTATTTTGTCAGTCTCCATTACTTATTCAGGTGATGTTAGTCTATGAAGGAAACTTTTGAAATTTTCTTGTTTTTGAAAACAATAGAATCTGATCTCACTGAAACTGCCATAATTTTACATCAGTTATGTGAATAAATGAATCAAATAAATTGTGAAAACACAAGAACTTTTATACCGATTTTTTCAGGATTTCTTGAAACACATGCAGCTCAACACTATCTTGATATGAGAGGTTGTAGCGTGCTGTCGAGTTGAGATTAACTATGAACACCGCTACCAAGAAACACGTGCCAAATGAATCAGAAGGCGAAGGTAGAACGTAACCAAATAAATCCATAAAATCCCCGAGAAGCCAAATATCAGAAGGCAATTAATGGGCCAAGTCGATGTTTATTTGCTGGCGATCTCGTGGCATCGAAAGGA